ATCTTCACAATGATTCCCACGTAGCTTTACAGGGAGTGGAAAAGTCTATGTCCATCAGGGCATTTATACTACAATCAAATGTTTCCTTGAAAATATTTCAACCAATGACAAGATTGATTTTCTAGGATTGGAAAATTTTCCTTTAAATAAGTTTCCAAATTACTGAATTCATATTGAGAACATTTTGAAAAATGTGTTTTTTTTAAATCATATTCTGTTTTTAACCAAATAACAAGAGATGTACAAATAAATATTACATTTTATATACTTGTCACTACTCTTTCTCATATAGTATACAAATTTAACATGGATTTTCTTTTAAAATATAGTATAATGATTGACATTTTAAGAATAATACCTAGAGAGCTTAAAAAAGAAATACTAATGTTGACACTCCACCCAGAGCCAGTCACATCAGAATCCTTGAGAATGAAATCTGGGCATTAGTATTTTTAAAACTCTCCAGATGGTATCTTAGTTATCCTAGGCATTAGTGAGCTGAAATGGACTGGTATTGGCCATTTTGAATCAGATAATCATATAGTCTACTATACCGAGAATGACAAATTGAAGAGGAATGGTACCACATTAATTGTCAAAAAAAAATTTCAAGATCTATCCTGAAATACATCACTGTAAGTGATAGGATAATATCCATATGCCTACAAGGAGGACCAGTTAAAACAAGTATTATTCAAATTTACATACCAACCACTAATGCCAAAGATGAAGAAACTAGAGATTTTTACCAACTTCTGCAGTCTGAAATTGATAAATATGCAATCAAGATGCATTGATACTGGTGATTGGAATGTGAAAGTTGGAAAAAAAGAAAAAGAATCAGTAGTTGGAAACATTGCCTTCATGACAGAAAGGAAGTTGGAGATTGCTGAAGGTTTGCAAGACCAAGGACCTATTAACTGAAATATCTTTTTTTTCAACAACACAAACAACAACTATACACACAGACTTCGCTAGGTGGAATACACAGGAATCAAATCAACTACGTCTGTGGAAAGAGACGATGGAGACGCTCAATATCATGAGTCAGAACAAGGCCAGGGGCCGACTGCAGAACAGATCGTCAACTGCTCCTATGTAAGCTCAAGTCGAAGCTGAGGAAAATTAGAACAAGTCCACGAGAGCTAAAGTATGACCTTAAGTATATCCCACTTGAATTTAGAGGCCAACTCAAGAATAGATTTGACACACTGAACACTAATGATTGAAGACCAGGCAAGTTGTGGAATGACATCAAGGATGTCATAGATGAAGAAAACAAGAGGTCATTAAAAAGAAAAGAAAGAAAAGATCAAAATGGATGTCAGAAGAGACTCTGAAACTTGTTCTTGAACGTAGAGTGGCTAAAGTGAATGGAAGAAATGATCACGTGAAAGAGCTTCCCTTTGTTACTCCACAATCCAGAAAATTTCAAAGGACAGCTTGAGATGACAACGTACTATAATGAAATGTGCAAAGACCTGGAGTTAGGAAACCAAGAGAAGAACACACTCAGCATTTCTCAAGCTGAAAGAACTAAAGAAAAAATTAAAGTCTCGGGTTGCAATAGTGAAGGATTCTATGGGCAAAGTATTGAATGATGCAGGAAGCATCAAAAGAAGATGGAAGGAATACACACAGTCACTGTACCAAAAAGAACTGGTTGATGTTCACCCATTTCGGGAGGTAGTATATGATCAAAAAGTGATGTTAGTGAAGGAAGAAGTCCAAGTTGCAGTGATGGCATTGATGAAAAACAAGGCTCCAGGAATTGACAGAATAACAATTGATATGTTTCAACAAACAGATGCAATGCTGGAAGTGCTAACCTGTCTAAGTCAAGAAATTTGGAAGACAGCTAACTGGCCTATCAACTGGAAGAGATCCATATTTGTACCCATTCCACAGAAAGGTGATCCAACAGAATGTGGAAATTATCAAACAATATCATTAATATCACATGCAAGTAAAATTTTACTGAAGATCATTCAAAAAAGTTTATATCAGTACATGGACAGTAAATGGTCAGAAATTTAAGCCAGATTCAGAAGAGGACCTGGAAAGAGGAATGTCACTGCTGATGTCAGATGGATCTTGGCTGAAAGTAGAATATCAGAAAGATGTTTACCTGTATTTTATTGACTATACAAAGGCATTTGACTGTGTGGATCATAAAAAATTACAGATAACATTGCAAAGAATGGGAATTCCAGAACACTTATTTGTGCCCATTTAGAACTCGTACATAGACCAAGAGGCAGTCGTTTGAACACAATAAGGGGATACTGCTTGGTTTAAAATCAGAAGGGTGCGTGTCTAGGTTGTATACTGTCACCATACTTATTCAGTCTATGAAGCCCTAGTGGCACAGTGGTTAAGAGTTTGGCTGCTAACCAAAAGGTCAGCAATTCAAATCTACCAGCTGCTCCTCGGAAACCATATGGGGCAGTTCTATTTTGTCATATAGGGTCACTATGAGTCAGAATCGACTTTAGTTTTTATTTTTTTTCCATCTGTATGCTGAGCACATACTCTGAAAAGCTGGACTATATGAAGAAGAATGGGCCTTCAGGATTGGAGGAAGACTTATTAACCACCTGTGATATGCAGATGACACAATCTTACTTGCTGAAAGTGAAGAGGACTTGAAGCATTTACTAATGAAGATCAAAGATTACAGCTGTCAATATGGACTACACTTCAACTAAAGAAAACAAAAACCCTCACAACTGGACCAATAAAGAACATCATGATAAATGAAGAAAAGTTTGAGGTTGTCAAGGATTTCATTTTACTTGAATCCACAATCAACACCCATGGAAGCAAAAGTCAAGAAATGAAATGACATACTGCATTGGGCAAATCTGCTGCAAAAGGCCTCTTTAAAGTATTAAAAAGCAAAGATATCTCTTTGAGGACTAAGGTGCACCTGACCCAAGCCATGATATTTTCAATTTTCTCATATGCATGGGAAAGCTGGACAATGAATACAAAACACAGAAGAAGAATTGATGCATTTGAATCACGCTGTTGGCGAAGAAGACTGAATGTAGCATGACGGCCAGAAGAACAAACAGATCAGTCTTGGAAGAAGTGCATTCCTTAGAAGGGAGGATGGCGATACTTCGTCTCACATACTTTGGACATGTTATCAGGAGGGACCAGTCCCTGGAGAAGGACATCATGCTTGGTAAAGTAGAGAGTCAGTGAAAGAGGAAGACCCTCAACGAGATGGACTGACACAGTGGCTGGAACAACGGTCTCAAACTTAGTAATGATTGTGAGGATGGCGCTGGACTGAGCAGTGTTTCATTGTGTTGCGCGCCAGGTCACTATGAGTCAGAACCAACTGGATGGCACCTAACCACAACAACGAGATGATTTTAATGTATGATCATAGCTGTTGTGATTAAAAGAGAACAAGATTTAGAACTAGACAGAATTGCATTCAAACCTCAACTCTGCAAGTCAGTAGCTTTTATTAGAATTTACCTCATCCCTTAGGTTATCTGTGTCCTTCCTTTTGTGGATATTATGAAATTTATAGATAAGCCATTTAAAACATCTGGTGGCTAGTAGACACTTAATGGTAAGCATTATCAATAATGATCTGCAGGCGATGTGCAAAGAAAACAGTGCTTTATATGCCTGGGACGTTGTTCTTATTATAAGCATTCCAAAACATATTATTGCCATCTGTCAGGTTAAGTTCTTAAATTAAGAGAATAATTTTGTTTAGGATTGAACTAAAAAAGTATTATTTAATTAGAAATACAGTATTTTACTAAACAGAAAATAACCAAGAAAAATTAATGCTGTTTCAATGGTTCCTAATTGACTCTCAGGAAATGGTATAATTATTGCAAAATGAATAGATTAAAGTGCAAGGAAAATGAAAACTGTAGTGGGAAAGGTCAACTCTTTATTTTCTCTAAATGCGTATATTCATATCTAAGTAGTGTCAATTTTTTAACATGATCAGAATATTATATATACTATACACAAAGGCCAATGAACTAATTGAAGACTATGTAGATTCCTTTTGCTAACATCATTACAGCAAAAACTCAGTCTATAATTAGAAATATTATATAGTTTTTAATTTTTAGAACCCAGAGAGTTAGGTGATTTCAGTTAGAAGCTAGTTTTCATATGGCTGCGATGATTTTGGAGCCTGGTGGTGCAGTGGTTAAGAGCTTGGCGGCTAACCAAAAGGTCGGCAGTTCAAATCCACCAGTTACTCCTGGGAAACCCTATGAGGCGGTTCCTCTCTGTCCTATAGGGTCACTATGAGTAGGAATCAACTTGACGGCAATGAATTTGGTTTGGGCAATGATCTTGGTGTAGGAATTGTGTTTGTGTGTGTGTGTGTGTGAGTGTGAGAGAGAGCTTTTCCTCTATTTGGCTTTGTTTTGTGGACTTGCTAATTGTTTTTTAAGAGTAGCATTGCAGAGTATACCCCAACTTGTACTGTTTTTAAAGATATTGAGTGCTTTCTACAAAATTTATACTACGTGACAAACCAAATTAGAGATCTAGTTGCTGAGCATCAATGTGTTATGCATAGTTGGTGATACATAAAAAACAGGCACTGCCTTTGACCTCGAGGAGTTGAAAATTAAAGGTATGTGAAGACAAAGCTAGTTCTGAATCCTGCACTAATATTTTGTGAAAAGTGCTGTTGCCAGGCTTAATGTCTCAATATCCTCTTGCCTGCATATCTCTAAATTGAAAATGGTATCACAGAACAGGATTTGCTATATAAATCACATGGTATAGATACTGAGGGAACCAAGTATTCTATCTAACTGGCCAAAATGTATAGCATATTTTAAATGGGTGTAGTATTTTATGTGCAATCAATTGGTGCGAATAATAACATGATGCAAGAGACCGAGTCCTCCCGTGCTGTGTTCAGAGACGTCTACACATTAGAATCTCGAGTTCTAAGCAGTGAACTCTGTTTCTAATTAAATCTAGAAAAATATCTGAACACTTACGTTTACAAGTAGGTGGCTTCCCTTTGTTACTCCACAGTCCATCTTCTTGACACACTGCTGTTGCCTGTTGACTGGCTTCAAGCTTAAAGCCCTCATTACATTCATATATCAATTTACTGCCCAAAGTGAACTCATTACCCGTAAATGAACCATTTCCTGGGGACTCTGGAATTCCACAGGACACAGCTGGAAAAAAAAAGAAAGAAAGAAAGAAAGAATTGCAGCCTTATTCTTACAGACACTTTATGAGATTTTTTCTTCTTTTTTATCTCATATATAAAAATTGTTCGGTATTTATATTTCTAATGTGTAGTAGAATTATACACATTTTGATGTTTTAAGAATGGTAAAGTTTAATGAGAAACAAGGGGAAATTGATCATAATAAGATACCTTTATAATTCCAGGAAGAAAAGCTGACCCCTATCATATAGTGTAATCATACTGTGACGTGTTTTCTGAGATGGTAGGATCAACAAAGCACAGGATAACGGCATTCATTTAATGTTGGAAAAGAAAAAAGAGGGATAAAATATCTTTACCATCACAAAATTTATTCCAATGATTGCTTCTTGATGTCAAAACTCACAGGCATCCCATTAAACAATCACCCACCTGAGGCCTCAAAAACGTGCTCCCTCTTATTTGCCTCCCAACCCCCTCACTCGTTTTGCTTAAAGCAACAGGAGGTTCTATCGACTACAAACGACTTACCTGAGATCGTCAGTGTATCTGTTATCATAAAGTCTATTATTCTATAAACGACCTGTCAGGAAACGGCGTAAAGCAGTAAGATACAGGAGGCAGTAAGGAAAGCTACTAGAGCCGAAGGCCCCGTGCCAGAAGGGGAGCTTGGGTCAGCTTATAAGTGTAAGTCATGTAAGGAAGAGGTATGAATAAAGAAGAAATTGCTTTGAAAAATAAAGTATGGAAGGAATTCAATGTAAACTCTTTCTTCTTAAATTTTCTAGCCCTGTTCCAGGCTTACGTACCATAAGACAAAAAAAAAAAAAATTCTCAAGTTAAATGACTGCAAATTATAACAATGAAACAAGCACTAAGTCAGAGAAAGTGTTACATCAGCAACAATTATAATGATGATGATGACCTAATCCAGGGCCATATGTTACAGAAAAACGTGGCAGTACCTAATGTAAAGATTTTCCTTTACTCAATCCATACTGAAGTTATTATTCGCATCCTGGATTATAGATTTAGATAATTTAAAAATCTTCACACAGGGATCCCAAGGAGAATACACATGCAGAATGTTAGAGCTGGAAGAACTGGATATTAAGGAAACTTGAGCCTCAGAAAGACCAAGTGACTTGCCAAGGGTGGTACAGTGACTGTAACACCTACAGCCAGAGTTGACATCTTATTTCTTCTCACCGTGAACGTTTTCTATTATACAAGGCCCCCCCTTATCTGTGGCTGAGCTTGAGGTTTTTTTCTTTATTGCTTTTGTTCCTTTTTCTTTATCAAAATCATGAATACAATGGGAAATTATCAGAAAAATAAAGGAAAATTTAGTGCAGATAAAAACCAAAGCTTCTGGAAAATCTAAGCTCTAAATTTTTCCTTGTATTTAAATTTATAATCAGCTGTAAGAACCATCTGCCATTGTTTACATATATCTGAAGCACACCACAATAAAACATTTGCGATAGACGGAGAACAAGGAAACAGATTTTGACAAAATATTTAAAATAATAACCTACAGCTTTCCAAAGACTTTGTTTTGTGGCAACAATGTATCAATAGCAAGACTGCCAGGCATTTGCAAAATATTCATTTTAATTTACTGAATGGAGTAAATGCATATATTTTCTCCTTTACAATTCTGTTTTTATCTCACAATGTTCTGATACCTTGTTTCCTTCCCATTTTCTCTCAGATTTATCTCAGATAGTCATTTGTTCATGCTCACAACCTTAATTTTTCTTCCACTCAGTGAGGCGTGCCCTGTTTCCAGCTTTCATGTAATTCTCGTATAGGGTGAGCACCAAATGAAATGACATTTCTCTGGCAGGTTAAATGGGAAATGGCATTCTACAAACACATATGAAACTCTTCCTTAAAAGGATTCATACCCAGGGAGGCCAAAACCAAAAAGCTTTATAGCTCCTTCCGATGGATTTCAAAGCTTGTTTCACAAGTGAACCCCAACTCGAAGGATGCAAGAAGACCCACTCTGTGTGGTCTGATCAACAACTGGGAATCTTATTTTGACCTTATCTAGAGTTTTTAGTCTCCTGACTGCCCTAACAAAAGGCTGTTTGGAAGGGGCTTAAAGCAGAAGTGGCAATCTATCAAAAATGGAATTCTAACACTTCTGATAAAATGAAGAATAGATGGAATAATTCTTGTTGTCTAAGACTTACAAATTCAGGGCTTATGGGGATGAAAGAAGTTTCCTGCTAAAGTCTAGTATCCAACCAACCATTGATTGATTCAAAAAATGTCACATTCCTACAATGTGAGAGACACAACTTAGATCTCAGATTACCTTTTTAAAAACAATGATGTGCTCTGCTTGGTCACCATCACTAAGTATCTACTCCACTCAGCCAGCCTACTCTCTTCGTTGACTTCATTTTTTGTTTTTTTTCCCCCTCTACCCAAAATTCCCTCCGTCATCTGCTTCAATTTAAATCTACCCTAAGATAGCAAACTCGTTTCTAACAGTATGTCCTACTCTTACTTGATTGGTGGTGTTACTGTATAGAATATTCTTTTTTTAAGCAAGTATTTTATTTAATGGAAGACCTGCTTCACAAAGTGATGTGTAATTGCACTTTCTGCAGTTGCTTGTACTAAATCATCATCTTGGGCATAAAACCAAAAACCCATTGCCGTTGAGTCAATTCTGACTCATAGTGACCCTATAGGACACAGTAGAATGCCCCATAGGGTTTCCAAGGAGCAACCGGAGAATTTGAACTGCTGACCTTTTGGTTACCAGTCAAACACTTAACCCCTGCCCCACCAGGGCTCCTGTCTTGGGTATAATTGTCTTAAAATTACTAGTGACTTTTGAAATAAATATTAATATTGCTTCAACAGATTTGTGACTTATAATTTCCATAAGATCAAGAATATTACTAAGAACACCATGGTTGATGGCCAACACATACAAACATTTTGTGATAGCTATATGCTTTTGTTATTCATCTTCCTGAGACATGGGAAATCACCATGTAATTTTCCATTAAACCCGTACTTTTTTGTGCTAATTGCAAAATAAAAAATACTAAAACCAAATATAAAATATACAGTTGTAGATTTACCATGCAATGAATCACAAAACCTCTAGCAAGAATGTTTATATGGTACTTCTCAAACTTTACTGAATCTATGAATCCCTGGGGATACGGATAACATACATATTCTGCATGTACGTTAGGTCTGGGTGGCCTAGGATCCTGCTTTTCTATCAAGCTTTGTGGGCTCAGAACCATATTCGGAGAAGCAAAGATTCAGACTATTCTGCACCACTGTGGCACAGTGGTAAAGAGTTATGGCTGCTAACCAAAAAGGCGGTAGTTTGAATCCACCAGCCGCTCCTTGGAAATCCTGTGGGGAAGTTCTACTCTGTCCTACAGGGTCGCTATGAGTTGGAATCCATGGCAAAAAGTTGGAGTTTTGGGTTTCTTTTTTTTTTTTGGACATGTTCTGTGGAGGCCTGCTAAATCTTTTCTCCCTCCACATACATTTTCCAAACTGCTGCCATAATTTCTCAGGTTATCCACTGACCCTGGTGAATGACTGGAGCTCTTCTCACCTTTGGCATTTACACACCAAGGTACAGCAGCACTGAATATCCTCCACTATCACCACCTCTGTGTTGAAGGAGTTACAAATACCTAGCTTTGTGGTTCAAATGCACTTTCATTTTATCAGCAAGCACCTTCTTTGAAAGGGAGACTTAGCATTGGATCTGGAAATATTTGGGGAAAGAGAGACGTGTTGTTGATGACCTTCTTTTAGTTAACCCTGTGTGAAAGTGAGAATTCTGTTCACTGTGTGTGGTCTTACACTATTAAATGAGACCACTGCAGAAACTGCATATACAAAATGAAGGTCTACCGAGTCCGTTAATCTTATTTTCATGCAACTGTTTATAATAGTAGTTTGCAAAGAAATGAAAAATACAGCAAAGAAATAAAAAACTTCATAGAAAGTAGGGACACATACGTAAAAAGGACTCATCCCTGATACACTAGGATATATGTTCACCCAAAATATGAGGCCTAACTTTTGTTATAAGGTGGACCTTGCACTTCATTCCATAATTTTCTCTTTGTAAGGATTCATGCTTTTCTTAAGTGACACTCGCAGTACAAACCCATAGCTAACAATACAGGAAAATTGATAACTAGATCAATAGTTTCAGTCTCAACTTTGTAACGTACTATCTGTGTGACCCAAAATTATCACTTAACTTCTCTGAACCTCAGTTTCCTCATATGTCAAAAGAAGTGTAATACTGAATTTATTTTTGATAAATTTAAAATGTATGAGTTACTTTTACCTTTAAGTATAAAATTAAATAATGAAAGAAAACTGATTCATTCATAATTTGAACATTATCAAGTCTATCCATTCATTCATTCGTTCACTTTATCCAGTATGCCAATCTCTGTCTTTTAATTGGTGTATCTATACCACGTATTTAATGTCATTGTTGATATGTGAAGGTTTAAGTCTGCCATTTTATTTTTTGTTTTCATTTTTCTTTTCCTGCCTTCATGTCAATTCCTTGAACATTTTTAGAATTCCATTTTTGTTTGTTTATAGGTTTTTTGTGTATTTTTTGTATATAACTTTTTTAGTGGCAGAACCTATCACTGTCTGCTGGTGTCAACATTTTACTTGTTTTAGTAAAGTGTAGAAAGCTCACAGCTTTTTATTCCTTGTATCCTTCCCATTTGTAATGTAATTGTCGTAATCATTTCCTCTACATACATTGATCACCACATTAGACAATGTTATAATTTTTGCTTCAATTGTCACACGTAATTTAGAAAACTCGAAAGGAAAGTCTATTGTATTTACTCATAGGAAAGTCTATTGTATTTACTCATATTCTTGCTCTTTCTGTGTTCTTTCTTCCTTCCTAATATCCAAAATTTCTACTTTTATAATTTTCTTTATGTTTACAGAATTTTCTTTACCCATTCTTTC